CCCCCTCCTGGTAATTATTGCACAGTCCCTTACAGATAAACTATGTACGTTTTTAATCTAATAGACCGAAATAACTTTGAAGTGTCACGACAAGCTCTGCTCAGTGTGCGCAGTTCTGTTGATCGAGTAWTGCACAGAAGGACTGCGACAATCTCTTTTCCTGGAGAAACAACACCTTTGAGAAGAAAGCTGTCCTCTTAGAAACAAGCTCAGAAAGGGCTGGATGATTTTCTTTGCTTCAATACGAAAGCTTTCAGCGTACATAAAATATATGATAGGATTGATTGAACTGTTKAGRTGAGCCAWGAACCAACCAATGAACTTAAAGGCAGGGTCGAGATCGCACATTTGAATAATAAAATCAGTAGCAAAAAGATACAGRAAAATCATGAGGTGGGCTGGAAGCCAGCATAGTGCAAACGCCACAGTTATTGTCAATACCATCTTCAAAACTGATTTGTTCTCCCGAAATGCAACGGTGTTGCTGTTATGAAGTTTGCCTTTCCAAAGTTCCCGGATGACAGAGGCATAAAAGAAAACCACTATCACAAGAGGAAACAAGTAGAAGAACAAAAACAACACGATGGTGTAGTCTCTTGGAGCCTTGATTTTATCAAAGTAAGGTTCCCAGATCTCTTGACAGTAATGGCTGCCATCTTTTTCAAAKAATTTCATAGCGTACAATAAAGGTGCGTTAAAAACCGCTGACACAATATACACCATAATAATCAAGACCTTGGCTTTTCGTTTGCAAATGATCTTTTTAAATGGATAAACAATGGCTAAGAAACGGTCGGCGGCCAGGACTAAAACCGTTAAGATAGAYGTCCCTATGAATAGTCCTTGTAAGAATGWCCCTGCCTTACAGAGAATAGCWCCAATGGGCCCTGTGACTAACGGTTGTGTTAACTTCCCCGTTGCAATCACATACATTGTGCTTGGAATACAGAGCACGGCAAGGAACACGTCGCTGATGGCCATGTTGACAATGAATAAGTTAGTTGTGGTCCTGAAGGTCGTTTTACGAAACACAATTAAAATCACAAACACATTGCCAAGGATGGCTACGACAAACGCAATGGAATACACAAGYAGTTTGGATGATGTCTCAATCGAAGATTCCTTTCTTTGGAGAGTACTACACAGYGAAGTATTGTTCATTGGTTCCATTTTGTAGGGTTTGATGCTTGTGCTGCATAAAGAGAGAGAAACCATTATGATCGTATAGATTAAACATTGTTACACCTACTTGCAGAAACGTTGTCATAGAAAATAGAACATTTGAATTTAGTAAAAAGGAATTAATTAAAACAAGACAAAAGAAAGCGTTCAGCCTCAGTGATCTTCTTTTGTCGTTTTTAATTTATTCCTTTTTTACTAAATACAAATGTCCTATTTTCTATGACAACGTTTTCGCAAGTAGGTGTATATAGAAATTTTAAATTGCCCTATGGCATAATGACATCATAGCTTGTTTACATTACGGATAGATGCTCAGAAAGACTCGAAATTTGGACCTATTAACATTCTTTCCTAAAGTAGAACTTTAGTTTATCGAGTTTTGATGTACATCATTTATCAGTGATAGCTCATCTGCATTTTATTTGATATGCAGTCACTCTGATCCCCTCTGGCGACCATAATCCTTAGCGTTAAAACAATAGAATATTTTTTTATGAAGTAATTATGCGATAGGGCAATTAACCATCACATTTATGGATGCCGTTCATTGCGCAAGTCACGTATTTCTCATTAGGGGTGCGTTTGTTTTTAAATTCGCATTGACTAATTAAATCAAAGCTGCTATGTAGAAATACAGCATTTTGCTTTATTTTTTAAAGAAACTTTAAGACTTGGATTTGAGTTATATTTTCTTATCTTTTCAAGAAATTCCCACTTTAGTTAAACTASCTTCAATTAAGTGCAAATGTTCAATTTCTTTCTTAAATGTTTTCTCAAATACAGTGTGATTATTGTTCTTCGAATGTATCATAAYATTGAGATCAATTAGCACAATTTAGAGCGCGAATGAAATTCAATATTGACTTAAAGTCTGTATTTTTGACAGCAGTTGACTGTTTTTGCTTGTTCAAACATGACCAAAAGCAACTGATAGAATAGTTTTCTTCGGACTATGAATTGAAAACACCTTCTTCGTGTGTTCAATAGTTAGTTAACACAAGGCAATAATATTATAGTTTTGTAGTATGAACACAGAAAAATATATTTACAAGTTAAACTATCAATTATTTGGTGATTATAATGAACATTTGTATAAAGATATCAATAAAGAACATCAATATTCAGACTCTGGTTTTATAACAGCCACTGAAGCTACTTTGACTACTACATATTGCAGCTAATTTTTGCGGGTTTTCTGTATAGCGATATGTGTTTATGTGATTTTTTATYCTTTWATGCAAAGCGAAAATATATTTGCTTTCCGCCAAACATCGTACTGTGTTTTTATCTAATCTTACCTTTGCGTGAAACAAATAACGACTAAGCGCTCCTCRCCACTCTATGTAATGCCGAAAATTGCCTCTATATAACGAATATCAAAATAAGTTACGTGAATAGCTATCCTCTAAGAGACCACTAGATCAACTAGCGATCTGTGATATTTATGTAGATGAAATTCAATTAATACCTTGTGTCGCCGTTCCTGATAGTAATTGGCATATATGAGGAAGACTTGATGAGTGTTTATCCCAGGGGGTTGACAGGTGGAAATTCTCTGCCTTGGGGAACCGTTTTAATAAGTGCTCCCTCAAAGTTTAGTGTCCTGTTTTTTGTTTTATAACGGTTATTCTATGCCCAAGCAAATTTAATGCATGGAAAAATTAATTATCTATTATTTGAGTACTTTTGATTAACAWATAGTGTGCAATTTGTGTTTACCAAAGTTGTGAGAAAATGTTTGTGTAAAAAGATAAATTTAACACCGTAAAAAATAGGTGAAACAACTGACGTTTCGGACGTTAATCCTTCGTCAGAGTAAAGACGTTAAATTTCAGTTAAATTTATCTTTTTACACAACTGTTTCGCAACAACGGACGAACCTCATACTGGTTTATCTCTAGTTTCTACCATTTTGAGAAAATGATCAATTTGTACAACTTTACAACTTAAAAAGATAAAATGTCGTATTTTATTTCTGCTGTACCAAAGTTTTTATTGTTTGATGTCRGGAAGTCATTGGCATTTGAGTACATCATAAACGACACTTTTKCCGTAATTCTCTTGCAGTTAAATTACATATTTGAAAGCTTTCGAATTCTCTTAAATCKATAGGCGATAATTTGTCTTTTTAAGAGAGCGCAGATTTTACGTTTAAATACCATTTGACTGAAATATTTTAYCTTTGAAAGTTCCGAAAATTTAACAATGATTAGTAATTAAGTTGTTTTATCGTTTTTTTGTTGTAACTATTGCATTAAAAACATTGACGCGCCKCACAATTTAACGTTAGTCGTCACATTTTAGTTCGATTAGTCTTTTTATGCAATACAAGGAAAAAAATCGTTTCTTCGATAATGTACTTGAGACGTGATGGTGTCAGCGCTGTGTGAACGTCCTGTTATTGACACRCTTTAATCAGCCAATCAGAACGCAGGAATTCACACACAAGTGTGGTAAAAATATGAACTTACTTACGATTGACAAATCTGAGGTTGCATCGACGCATTACTCCACCCCGAGTTATAATAATTCTCCGAATAATTCAAATCGCCCTTGGTAATTCCATWCGACAATTTCATTCAAAGCYTCRCCYCTGCATTCAACCYTTTTGAAATAGCTGTACATATAAAGGAAAACYACCATGTGTAGATGACATTAGCAGGTTTGAGGTGAGATTAATATCAAAACCACATGCTGACATCGAAAGAAACAACCGTATTGAATATAAAACTTGACGGAAAATAGTACAATAATAAATCATTTTATCTTCACTAATAAATATTGAAAACAAAACATTGCTTTACTGATATTGAAGAAATTACTTTAGAAGCGCGCGCTTATTGAACTATAAGAAACAAAGGTAAAAGGAAACTCGAAACGAGAGAAATGTTAGAGCAGATGAAGCGAATTTGAGTGCTKGCCGTGTTTCTTGAGTGTTTTTGCTTATTCTCAAGTGCTTGATAACATGATCAAATACAGCATGAAAGTTTTCTGGCTTCAGTGAAATGGAAACTGAAGTGTRGTACTTTGCGCTTTCAAAAAGCACGCTCGTTATCTCATCAAACTGAGCCATACAGCAGATATTTTTGAAAGCATAATATACACCTTATTGCAAAAAGGTTGTCAATGAGCTCACAGAGAAATAGACTGAACACTTGGATCTTAGTTTCAGGAATAAATTAAAATGACAAAATAAAGGAATCCTTCGGCCTGGGTGAATTAATTTTGTTGCTTTGATAAATTCCTTTTTACTGAAGTACAAATGTTCTAWTTCTCTATGACAACATTTTTGCAATTAGGCACAAACGATGTATATTYTCATGCATCCCAAGTGTTCTTTAACTCCAGCCATGTCGGTATSAGAGGACGGGGATACGAGCGGCTGTTCTTTTGAGATATTTCTGGCTTTTTGAAAGAGCAGGCGGCAGACTGAGGGCATTGATATACACGATCGGTAATGACCAATGAGAGCGCGCGTTATTAGAGCGGATTTCGTATGACTGTGCAAAAACAACACGGTACGTTTGTGCTGTGTCCGTACCGTGCCGTAGCCGTGATGCATTGGAAAATCTTTATTTTCATTTGAAATCCTAGAAGGCGAGGTTCCGTGACCGTACCGTGCCGTGTCCATGATCCGTGCTTTTGCACAGTCATACGAAATCCGCTCTACTTGCGCGAAAGTGCCGAGTTATAAATTCGGCATCGTTAGTGTTATTTTTTGTATTATCATTTTCCTYGTTCAGCAATAAAATGACCAAAATTAACGCATGCGTACACAGCTATGATAGTTACATATAGCGGATGACTGAAGTCTTGGAAGCAGCAAATGCTAATTAGCATAATTTAACACCAGTACAGAAAGCGCGAGTTTAYAYAGTTATGGGTCTAGTATTGCAATACTTCATATTGCTTGATCTWAACGCGAGCTATTTTGGGAAAACRCGAGAAAGCACAGGAATATAAAAGAATACGAACAAACAGAGTTCACAATATTTTGTTCAGTTTTACAACACGACTTGAAAAAAGRCTTAACAATTGATWAAAGCACGATAAAAGCATTAGAACAGGCATAGTCGAGCAAGACAGAGTGTYTCTCGAGTGCTCTGMTAAATCTTTAAAGTATTAAGAGATTTCATCACAGCGGGGACGCAACAAATGATGAAAATCCACCAAATGTCACTCTATTGYTGTGATAGCGCACTTATGGCAATCACAGTGCTTGTTCTCAATGTTATCGACAATTCTTTCAGTTTTTCCAATCAGAACGTACAAAAGATTTAGAGTTACAAACAAAATGCAGTTTTCCTTGTTTTGTTGTCCACTGACATATTTAAAAAAAGAAAGAAAAAAAGCCGGTTTAAGAATGCTCGAGTGGAAAATCGAACGTGCGGATCGATCCGATATTCGAGTAAAATAAAAAAAAACGGCTCGTGAATAATAATAATACAAATATCTACAATAAAAAAWTAACATGAGCAGAACCCCTATATTTCAGTTAAAAAGAAAGAAAAAAAAAATATTTTTAACATTTGCTCGAGTCGCGGACAGAGACTGGGATCCTGAGTTATAGCTTTTAACTGTGAAAAAATAAAAATAAATAAAGATTAAGTCGCTGTATTTTAAGACCGTACCCCAGGGCTTCGGCCTGGACACGGTAAAAAGCATTTAAGGAAYTCATTTATTATTATTGTTGTTGTTTTGTTTATTATTGTTGATGTTTCACATGATAAACGTTCTTTTGCGCATTTCATGAAAATTCTCAGCTCAAATTTCAGAGTTCCTGTTTTCACTGCACTTCATGACTCGTTTTCCAAAAGGCTTTTTTCTCAAACTTCCTCAAGAAAATGTGTCTAAAATAAAGTCAAAAGAGGAACGTACATTATCTTAAATGATGAGTCCACCCTCAGCAAAGTCAATTTGGATAGATTATGATTTTATCTTAGAAAAGTTTGGAATAYTTTCCGATCGCCACGGTTGGACTTAATTTGGTTTATTTCAGTTAATACTGATTTATTGAGTTTATTGATTTATTGAATTTCTCGCTTAACTGACTTAATAAGACAAAATCCAAGTTAAAATATCCAGATAAAACATGAAGTTGAAGGTTTTTTGTGGGGTTCAATTAGCTTCCGGCGGGAATTTTTTCTGTTGCAAGAACAATCAAAATTCTCAGAACAATTCACTATTAATCGTAGGAATTTAAGGTGAAGTATCCTTACTATAAGTCTAAAACGTACCCAAGTCAAACTTAAAACAATTTCAGAAAAATTCACTTTTAGTATTAGTATTCGTCGCTGGTAACGAAAGCTTGGAGTACGAGAACGTACATTACTTCTTTAACCAGGTGGCCTGGGACCGATTCGCTATCAATGCCACCTTTCCCACTCGCCACGACTGGTTAACGAGAATTGACATGAGTTGGCGGTATCGCCATCACGTATTTGCTGTCATATTCGTTGTTAAATTGTATCATTTCTYAATGTCTTTAGTAATTAGACACTCCGGTACCCGAACGCACTWGCAATAACTACCTTCACTTCCAGAACCGCCTCGCAGGCTCAAATTGCATAATGAACGCATTGCGTAATGTTGTATATTCCATTGTTGCTGCACTATTGACGTCATAGAAACGTGAAGCCTCGCTATGATCGTGGATTCTTCACGGCAAAAAGCTTTTAACCGACTCATGACATAAAGAGTGCCGATGTCATACAATGAAAAGACCGTGTGTAACTTAGTTTTATCAAAATTAATCTTCATTAAAAAAATTGCCAATTAATTTGAATGTGAAAACTGACAGCACGAAACGTGATGATGTCTGCGTAGATGAAGTCCTGGTATAGCCACACCTTAATTAGCCAATCAGCGCACGACATTTCACACAAGTGTGGTAAAAATAAGGTACCACAAGCTGATATCGAGCCTTATTGCATAGTGCCGACCTTTTAATCATCCCTGCGCTCATTAAMCCGTGGATAAAATGCCCAAAACCATGTTTGTTAGAATTTGATACCGAATGTCATTTCAACAACAACCGAAACTAAGCTAAAGACGTATGTACATTAATTTTCAGTCTAAGAACACTTTTAAAAAATCCTGTGTCATTTCGTTAACCTTGCTCTCATTATTGATAACATAAATACAATAACCGTTTTTGATACTAAATGCATTTAGGTAATTACTAGGTTGGGTAAAAGGAATTATGATTTCTGCAACAATTTGCGTTATTTTAAATCTAAACCTTTACGTTATTGGCATTGTGCTTCTATCTATACTTTACTCACTTTAAATAAGACCGAAAACTCTGATCAAGTTTGAATAGGCCTTTGCATCAAACGGTCACCTGGTGCTAAATACGCCATACTGAATGGCAAGAGAATGTAAACAACCTCAAAAACAAAATGAACGCATCCCT